AAAACCTTTCATATCTGTGCACATGATGCAAGGAGAGTCTAGTTGGGGCAGAACATTGACTTCAATTCAGTCCATGTCTTGTTAGGAATGTTCAGCTGAGCCCATTTCTTGTTTGAAAAGTTGAATGCTTATCTTCTGAAGGGTCTAAAATCTTAGGAATCATGTGCAACTAGTAGTTCTATATACTCAATTTAAACTTTGAGAATCAAGCAAGAAATAAATACCCTCTTCTGTTAGTGCAGAGATGCTGCTGCCGTAGCAGCCGAGTCAAATAGCAATGATTCGAAGCACTTCTTCTTCCATTACACTATTTTGGAAACTTAAGGACTCGATTGTATGGATATGGAAAATACAGGATTTCCGATCCTAGTGGGAAAAGGAGGGAAACGGATACTCAATTTAAAGTGAGTAAACAGAATTTCATACCCGATCTCATAGATCCCTACAGAATTCTGTGGAAAGCCGTATTCGATGAAAGTCGTATGTACGGCTTGGCGGGAATCTTTAGAAAGAGGATCTTTTGTCTGTTGCAACTGGAAACAGGAATACTCAGTTTCCTTATTAGTTGGCTTTACTCTTTAGATATATTATGTGTAGTTGTAAATAACTTTCGTTAGATTTGGACACTCTTCATGGATGGGTCAAGTCAAATAATCACATAGAAGGGAGAGCATCTGTTAGAGCCTCTAGATCGAAGGTATGCCTGTGTCAGAGGGCTGATGAGGTATTGATGAGGACGCACTGTAGCCATCGCAGATCAGAAAGGTAACGGGGTAGTGGGGAATAGAGATTAGGGGAAGACTTCTTTATTGATAGCTTGCATCAGTCACTGCAGCTACGGAGCCTTTATACAGGTGACTCAAGACCAGTGTCCTGGATGGATACAAACTTAAAGTGCTGTGGAACGTGACTGCTGCAGGTTCTGTTGAAAGGACTCTTAACTTAGGGAACAAAAGATTAATAGAACTCTTAGCCTATTCCAACTCAGGTGTGTCTGCTGTGGCCTGTGGGTTTCCTCCTCTGATATGGAATTCCCCACATAACACTCCGTAATGCCGGTTATCTACCAATTCATTGGTACACTGGCGCCCCCACTCCCACCCCTCCAAATCTCTGGGAACAGGCTACCTGTAGTAGAAAACAATGTTTTATAATGTATGGCTATTCTAATATAGAAACATGAAACAAACAGGGTATGATTCTTAATGTGTATGAGGCTGGCATCTGAAGACATACCTAAAATGTTGATGAATCATATTAGGTATTACAAAGATATTAGAGATTGAGGGTCACTCACAAGTGTACTCACTTACGGGTTAGACGGGTTAGCCGGTAAGTGAAACTAAAGAAGATCTTGCGTAGATAAAGGCTATGAACAACTCTTGTGGTGTTTTATGTTTTATCAGATCCGTGGAAACTCTAGCTGACACAAAGTACTCTGTATGCATAGGTGGTTGACGAGTCATTTTGCTGATGTCACAGGTTCTGCTTGAGTTGGCACGCAGCCGGAACAAGATCCCGCTACCCAAGTCTATTGCTCCACCTGGCTCGATTCCTCTGCCACCTGAGCAGGACACTTTGCTGACTGAAAACTACCAGCTTCTACCCGCACTGAAGCCACCAACTCAGACTGAAGAAGCAGAAGATGACAACGAGGGAGCTGACGCAATCCCTGGCAATCCCAGTCCAAACTATTCACAGGATCAGAGGGGCAACGAGCAACGTCAGCCTCAGAGCCAGAGCCAGAGGGTTTCTTTCCAACTGAACGCGGTGGCTGCCACGGCTGCAAAGCGCCCTCTAGTGACAATTGATCAGTTGAACATGGGCTAACTAACTGATGCTTGTGTAGCTTGCTGGGACCGCCCTTTCTGGCTAGCGCCCTCCTATTGCACCATGAAAAATGCTGATTGCTGAGGAAAGGGAGCAGCCTTGCAAGTAGTGTAAGTAGTAGCTGTGCACCTCTGTTTTATTAATTTCTGTGCATTATTGTCAACTTGTTGATTTTGTAGATCTTGTCGAACTTGAGCTGTCTCGTCGTTGTTTCTGAATGCTAAGTCGGTGTTTCTATTGTGACTGTGTTCCTATTATGCTTTTGGTGGCATGTGGCACATATTTGGTTGGTTAAAATGAGGACCAAACAAACTAAGTGTACAATATAGAAATAAATCTTTTTTTTATCGATATAGAGATAAATCTGTAGTTCACTATTTTTCTCATTGTTTGCTTTTAATGCTAGGGCTAGTAGGATGTAGTGTTACCTTCTGTGCATGTCGCCTGAAGAACTATTGACAAATAAAAACAAAAACAAAACAGCCCGTCTAGCTCAGTTGGTAGAGCGCAAGGCTCTTAACCTTGTGGTCGTGGGTTCGAGCCCCACGGTGGGCGACCAACCTTTTTATTTTACTCTCCAGGAATCAATTTCCTTGTGCAATGCATGAATGATGAAGAGAGAATTCCTTATTTGACCCTTTCTTAAAATTTGCTTCCTTATTTGACCCAAATAAAATTTTCTTCCCTATATGACATCTAAAGTAAATTTTGTTCCTTATCTGACACTTTTGTTCATTTTAGGCATTAACTGTGTTAAGTGTGAGATGAAAAGACCATTTTGCCCCTAATGCATTTTGCAAATATCATGATGTAGTAAAAAAAAGCAACCCAGTTCATCCATATTTTAGCGATGTTGGAAGGATGCTGCACATGTATGTGTATGCTTCAATATTTTGTTTCTTAGGTAAACTGATTTGTGCGTTTAAAAGCTGTATAAAACATCCGTAGAAATTATACTAGCATATCTATTATTTGTACTACAGAGTCGACGGCCGTCGATTAGCCAACGGCGCTGTAGCGGTCTTGGCCTTGGGCGTCCACCAGTCCACACACGGCGCCACGGGCGCGGCTGCTCATACGTGGTGCTATGAGTTGTGGACGGCGCCGGCATGGTCTGCAGGTGCACGGCAGCAGCGATTAAAGATGTGCGCGGCAGCAGCGATTAAAGACCTACACATCATACAACAGTACTTTGATAGATCAAAGTTACATTTTCCTCACATAGACGCTGAACAGATTACGTAAGGAAAAAAAAAACTATTGGAGCATAGATATAGATGTGCATCATCCATTGAACATCCTAAAAACATGGGTGAACTGATTGCTTTTTTTACTACATTTAGGATAGTTACACAATGCATTAGGGGCAAAATGATCTTTTTGCCTCACATTTAACTTGGTTAGTGTCTAAAATGGACGAAAGTGTCATATAAGGAACAAAATTACTTTAGGTGTCAAATATTTTGGGTCAAATAAGGAAGCAAATTTTAAGAACGGGCCAAATAAAAAATTCTCTCAATGATGAATCAGCTTGTAATTTGTACGCAGGCACTTGCCTTTGCTCAGGCTGTGTTCCAATAGTTTCTTTTTTCGAAATAGTTCTTTGCATTACTCAATCAGGGAATACAAATCACGTTCCAGACCTGACACAAGCCACACAACAGTTCGAACTTAGGACCTACCAAAATTTGTCAAACCGTGACTAGAAAAATTCCAAGTACTGTGTATACAAGTAATACACAAGAACTACGAGAAGCTCTCCTTGATCTCTTTTTTTATCAACAAAGCGTACTCCCTCCGTTTCCTTTTACTCCACATATAAAATTTGATCAAAATCAAACTACATAAAGCTTGACCAAATTTATATCAAAAAATATGAACATCTACAATACTAAAACTATATAGTACGATAATACATTTCATGGTGCATCTGATAATATTGATTTCATATTGTGAATGTTGATATTTTTTAATATAAAATTGGTCAAACTTTATAAAGCTTGACTTTGACCAAACCTTATATTATATGCAGACTAAAAAGAAACGGAGGGAGTACTTCGATCTCGTTCACACAAAAAAAAGCGTACTTCGATCTGTTGACATCTCTGCTTCTCACCATGTATTGACCTCTTCCAAACAGTCCGACTCCACATCAATAGGAAGGTTACTCCATTGCAAGGCCAGCACTAATCCTTCTCTGATTGCAAATTTTTTAGATTCAAACACATCATTGCATGGGTTTTCCTTTCCGATTCCCCGTGCCCCTTCGCTCCTGCCCTCGTGCGAACTCTCATCCAAGGATTCCTTGCCTTTCGCCAGCGCCACCGCCGGTCCGCTTTGTCTTCTATGGTCCTTGAACCATGTAGGCGCGGTGGATCCAAGCCCTTGCTGGCGGGAGGGCTCCGTTTTTAGATGCTTTTTTGAGTTTTATTAAGTTTTTTGCCATGCTCAAGAAGATGAGACGATGGCGGCTTCTTGAAGATGGAATAAGATCCTACCCGTCTAGCCCCATCCTGGTGATGTTTCAAGCATCGTGGGAAGATATGTGGAGGTTTGTCTCCAATGGATCTCGTGGGATCCGGTCGACGTTTATCTTTGGTCGTTCTTACATAAGTCAACTACTTCGGGGATACCAGATCCCAACCAGACTACTGTTCTGCCTTGACTCTTGCAAAATTTGCTAAGCAATCGCTGACCCGATTCTGATCATGAGGAACATGTGATATTGACGTCATATGAAGAGACCTTAGATGCTTGATTTCTCCAACCAAAGAAGCAAAAAATGACCTATTCATGGCTTCACCCCTGACCAACTTCACTGCCAGCAGGGAATCCATCTCAATATGAATTGGCAGATCAGTACGTTGGATAGCAAGTGAGAGACCCTCCATACATGCGCAAAGTTCTGCTTCCAATGCATCACGGCATCAGAACAACCCCCTGCAAGATGAATAAATTGTGTTGCCGCATGGTCAAGAAGTGCTCGTATCATCTGTGTTCCAAAGTGGCCCTTTGATCATTATGAAGTAAGTACCAACACCTAGGTAACGAAACACTGGAAAGTGGAAAAGTATTATTATGAAGCTAAATTTGGAGTAGATAGAAATAATCCATAGAGAAAACAAATATTACTCGCAAAAAGTAAGGGAAATATATTCGTAGAAAAAATGACTTTTTGATCATTATGATAGTGATCTAAATGCTCTCATATCCATCACCTAGGTAACGAATCACTCGAAAGTGGAAACATATCTATTATGAAGCTAAATTTGGAGTGGATAGTTTTCTTTTTCTTCCCATGGAAGAAAGAGGACCCTTTGACTAGGGTTTCTTATGCCTCCCTCCGGTGCCACCGTCGGTCTATCTCGTCTCATGTGGTTTTAGGGTCATGAAGGCGTGGTGGATCACGGCCTTTGCCGGCCGGAGGGCTTCGTTTCTTCATGCTTCTTTGAATTTTGTTAAGGTTTGTGTCCTACTCAAAAAGACGAGAAATATTGATAGGAAAAGTGACATTTTGATCATTATGATAGTGATCTAAATGCTCTTATATCCAGCAGCACCTAGGTAACAAAACACTGGAAAGTGGAAACATATTTATTATGAAGCTAAATTTGGAGTAGATAGTTTTCTTTCTTCTCGTGGAAGAAAGATGACCCTTTGACTATGGTTTCTCGTGCCTCCCTTCGATCCCGCCGTCGATCTACTTCGTCTCCTGTGGTCTTAGGGCCATGGAGGCGTGATGGATCCCAGCCTTTGCCGGCGGGAGGGATCCGTTTCTTCATGCTTTTTTGAGTTTTGTTAGGGTTTGTGTCCTGCTCAGAGAGGCGAGGCGGCGGCGGCGGCTCTCTGAAGATGGAATAAGTTTCTCCCCGCCTAGTCCCCGTCCCGATGGTGTTTCTAGCACTGTCGGAGGCCGTGTGGAGGTTTGTCTCTGGCGGATCTCTTGGGATTCGGTCGGCGGTTGTCTTCGGTGGATTAACGTGGATCTTGTCTTTGTTCGCTTGTGCTTGTGTGTCTACAGGTTGGATCCTTAAGATCTACGCTTCTCTTCATCGGAGGTGGTTGCTATTCTGGTGCGATGGTCCTATGAGGCATTAACACGACGACTTTCTGACTGTCTACTATAACAAGGTTTGCCCGACTCTAATGAGGGAGGGGCAAAGATGACGGCACGCCTTCGGCTCGCTCCGGTGCTTGCAGTCGTCGCTAGGTGGTCTACTAACATGTATGTATTTTTTCACTCATGATGTTCTTTGTACTCATGATGGTACTTTTGTACTCATGTTAGGTGGTCTACTAACATGTACTCTGTAATTTTATACTCATGATGTTCTTTGTACCAACTTGACAGTTGATGAATGGATTGAAAGGTTTTCTCGCAATTTTTTTGGAGTAAATAAAAATAAGCCACAGGGAAAAAAATACTGGCTAAAAGAAAGAAAACAATATTGGTAGGAAAAAAATATATCGACACCTGAGAGATTCGAACTCTCGCGGGGAAACCCCATGTACTTAGCAGGCACACGCCTTAACCACTCGGCCAAAGCGTCTTTTTTGTTTTTGGAGCTACTTTACGTTTTATAAATGAATTTGATATCCAACCCGATTCGTTCCCGGAAACCCTCCACCAGCCAGGACACAGCAATCAGAGCATGGACAGCGGCGGCGGGAGGAGCCTCCGGCCCGGACGAGCCTCGCGACGCGCGCGTGGTGCGGGAGCTCCTCCGGTCGATGGGGCTCAGCGAGGGCGAGTACGAGCCGCGCGTCGTGCACCAGTTCCTGGACCTGGCCTACGGCTACGTCGGGGACGTGCTCGGCGACGCGCAGGTCTACGCCGACCACGCCGCCAAGCCCCAGCTCGACGCCGACGATGTCCGCCTCGCCATCCAGGCCAAGGTCAACTTCTCCTTCTCCCAGCCGCCGCCCCGCGAGGTACGAGTACCACCAATCTCACCAAATACCCTAGCACTATATATCCTCGTTAGATTCGGACAAATTAC